AAAGAAATGAAACACCAGCCATTCTTCCTACCACATGTCTATTTACACACCATTTGCACTGGGCATGTGAGAGCTTTGACATAGAGGTAAAAGAGAAAAATTTTATTCAGCTTTTGGGTCTGACCACTCTAGTGGTTTTTGTGGTTGTCTTCGAAATATTCATCTCTTGCCATATGAGTAATCTAAGCCTATCATTTTTATTTCAGCCATATTGCCAATGATTCATTTAGGAGTGACCAAGTTATTCAATCTTGCCAGTAAGACAGGAGAGCAACTTTGCTGAGGGAAGAGGGGGTGGTGCTGGGAAAGGTGTCCTTGTTTCTAAGGAGACCCAGGCAGAGATGGCCCCCTTTCCCCTCTAGATTTTATCATGGAGCCTGGAAATGTCACATTCATTTTGTTAACATGAAGACAATATATGGAGAAGGCAATTGCATTAGTTTGCTGGGGGCTGCTGTAACTAAGTACCAAAAACTGGGTGGCTTCAAACAACGGGAGTTTCTTATTTCACAGTTCTGGAGGCTAGCAGTCAGAAATCAAGGTGCTGGCAGGACCATGCTCCCTCTGAAGGCTCCCTCTGATTCTCCTTGCCTCTTCTAGTTCTAGGTGTTGGCCAGCAGTCCTTGGAGGTTCTTGGCTTGTAGATGCCACACCAATCACATGGCCATCTTCTCCACATGTGTCTTCACATGACCTCCCCTCTGTGTATGTCTGTGTCTGTGTCCAAATCTCTCCTTTTTATAAAATATCAGTCATATTGGATTAGGACCCACCCTTATGACCTCATTGTAATTTGATGATCTTATTTCCAAATAAGGTCCCATTTTGGGGTCCTGAGGTTTGGACTTCACCATATCTTCTGAGGTACATAATTCAACCCATAATAACACCTGAGAGAATTCAGAGCCCTGGCTTCCTGGTGTCTAATTAATCCCTTGAATGTTGTGAGATAAATTTCCTAATTGTTTAAGTCAGTTGGAGTCAAGTTTTCTGCTACCTGCAGCCAAATTATTCACACAGAATTATGCAGACATTTCAGGTGGGATAGAAGATAAAGGAAGTGATGGAGCTAATGGGGGTCCTGGAGAAGTGGACAGCAGTGGAAGAAAGAACCTGGCTTGCTGGCCCAATACAGTGAGAACAGAACCTAAAAGTTTGCTTCGGTCCAGCACTGTTATTCATTCTTCATCCAAAAGCTTATCTATAGCTACCCTGTGGCAAGTATTGTGCTAAACAGTGAGGATTGAATGAGCAAGATAGACACCATCTCTGCCTTTGAAAGGTGTGGTGGGGGAAATCCTGAAAAGGAGTCTGAAGAGGTAAATAGAGCTAGGGATGAAAAGATAGTGAGAAACATTAAAAGGTTTGTCATTTTAAGGGAATGGAGAACCTTGAAGCATTTTAAACAGGAGAGTGTAATGAGACAATTTATATCATAGAAAGATCATTTATACTGTAAATGGAAAATGGATTTAAGTGCCTGACAGAGGCAGGTAGACCCATTGGGTATCCCGTGGAATGCAAGTGAGAGATGCCTTTAGGATCCCCTTCACCTTCCAGTATTTTGGGAAGTACCTGGTGTAGGGAGAGCTCAGGAGATTTATCTCAGTGCTGCGGCAGATGCAATGGCGTGAGCACGCTCCGCCTGCACAAGCTTCCTCGGCACACCAGGAAGTGGCATCGCCCGCCTGAGCTGACCCCCTAGAGCCCCTACATAGTACCCTGATCTTTCCTACTATTGGTTGCCCTATGGATGTTATAAACTTCTGATTGGTCTGGAATGTTATATATGTTACTGCACTCACACAATAAACTTGGATCTGCGTCACTGAACCGGTCCCCGGAGTCGGGCATGCTTTGTTAGGACTCCGTCGGCCTCACCCCCGCGGGACCCCCTGCTTCACCTGGGGTACTTCAATGTGGGTTGAGCTCCATCAGCGGGTCACTCAGTATGCCTGGACTGCTTTTCTCTGCTGGCCTCCTGCCCCTCCAGGATTCCCTTTTCGGAATCTGGATGGGGAAATCACCTCCATATGTCCATGTCAGATCCTTGAAAGGGTTAACTGGAGAACATAAGGCTTGAGCCTTACAAAATCTAACGGATGTCAAAGGAAAGCTCGTTCTGTCGGCCTAAGCCTTGCACAAACATGCTCCCCTTGAGTGGTTATTTAACAGAAATTCCTGAAGACCATCACCCCTGCACGGCCCCCTGAGAAAGGACATCAGGTGCCAACAGAAGGACAAGGAACAAGGCCTTACAACTACGACAGGGGCACAGTCCTGATACCTGGGTCAAGCCAAAGCCCCATCTGCAGCTCTCCCTGAGTGCACAAAAAGCCTGCTCCCTCCCCAATTCACTGCTGGCTCTTTCTCGAGTCAGACCACCTGCACCCAGGTGCCTGAAATAAATTATCATTTTGATTACACTGAGCCTTGAGTCCATTCTGTGTGACCCCGGCCCAACCCTGAACCTTTCAATCCTCTTAGGAGGGATTGATGGCATGTTACTGGGGCCCAAGATACAGTAAGGTCCAATCAAAACAGTGTTTAGTTTGACATCCAGTTCTATTCCTAGAGAGACTATGCCACCTGGATGGCTAGGTCAAGATCAGGTTTGAGAAACAGCCAGAGAAAAATTATTTTCCTGGCACCAACACTAAGTCCCCTTTGCTAAGTCCGGCTCGTCCTGCCTCTGCGGGACTCCTCCTTTCCTCATGGCTGGTTCTCTCAGAGCCTCTCCTGCATCCCATAGCTCTATGTACATTGGTGGTAGTCAGCCTCCAAAATGGCCTGGACCCAAGTAAAGATAATATAAACAATTGCTGATTTTTAAAGTTTACTTTTTTTTAGCTTACTTTTAGAGGCATCATATGATTTTTCTTACATAAAATGGCTTCTCTTAATGTGCTGTGCTTTGACACATACTGTCATTCACCAACCAACCTCAACACCTGACCACTGGATAATGAGGGAGATGTCACAGGCCTTCGCTTCTTGGGTTTTTCCTGGTTCTGGATCTTACCTCTGAGCTCCCACAGAGCCTTGTGCTTGCCTTTATCAAGGCTTTATGCTTACTTACTGGTTACCTCCCTCAACCAACAATTTCTTGAGGGCTTAAGACTTAGTTGTATTTATATCCCAGGATCACCAACATTGCCTGGCTCTCTCAGGCACACAACAAATGCTTGGCGATAAGTAATAAATTTAGCAACAGGTTTAAAAAACCATAAAACCCCAGGGTAATTAGTCTAGCTATTATGTATACAGACATCTTTTCTCTCAAAGCTTAATTAAAAAATACACACACACACACCCATATATACATATATATGTGTGTGTGTATATATATACATACATATATACACTGAGTGGCCAGATTATTATGACCACCTGACGTTTGTAGGCACATAAGCTATAATTTCGCGCTGAAGTTGCTAGAGGGCCAGACCATTATAAACGTCTGAATAGCACAATGATACCTAAGTATCATTGCTGATCAAGTTCATCCTATCATGTTGATGGCGTATCCCAATGGAGATGGCTTCTTCCAACAAGACAATGCGCCATGCCACAGTGCTCGTATTGTGCAGGAGTGGTTTCAAGAACATGAGGGAGACTTTACCTTGCTTAGGTGGCCTCCACAATCACCAGATCTCAATCCAATTGAGCATTTGTGGAACAAAGTTAAAAGAGCCATCAGGCAGCTGGTTCCACAACCATCAAATCTCACAGAACTAGACAGTGCTATTCATCAGGCATGGTGTCAAATTCCTCGCATCACCTTTCAACATCTCGTGGAGTCAATGCCAAGAAGAATCGCCGCAGTATTGAAGGCAAAAGGTGGCCCAACGAAGTACTATGGGGGGGGTCATAATAATATGGCCGGTCATAATAATCTAGCCACTCAGTGTATATATATGTGTGTGTGTGTGTATATATATATATATATATTACTCTTATCCCAATATTATCTTTTCTATATAATAGGATTTACTATGTCAGCTTATGGTGAAGATATATACATTATTTTATCTTGGTCATTAAACTTTTAATGTTTCCAAATCCACATGGAGTTAATTTTCAGGATCCCTCTGGTTACAGCAGTGGTTCTCAATCTTGGCTGCACATTAGAATCACCTGGGAATCTTTTTAAAATCCTGATTTCTGGGCCTCATCCTCCGGAAATTCTGTTTCTTTGTTACTAATATTGTGGCCCCACCCCATAACAAGAAACAGAATTTCCAGAGGATGAGGCCCAGAAATCAGGATTTTAAAATATATATTTTATTGATTTTTTACAGAGAGGAAGGAAGAGGGATAGAGAGTTAGAAACATCGATGAGAGAGAAACATTGATCAGCTGCTTCCTGCACACCTCCTGCTGGGGATGTGCCTGCAACCAAGGTATATGCCCTTGACCGGAATCGAACCTGGGACCTTTCAGTCCACAGGCCGACACTCTATCTACTGAGCCACACTGGTCATGGCCAGAAATCAGGATTTTAAAAAGATTCCCAAGTGATTCTAATGTGCAGCCAAGGTTGAGAACCACTGACCTAAAGGCTCTTCAAATCTTTAGAAGAGTTTATGAATTTAAAGTTCAAAAGCATCCTTCTGGATTATACCTCACATAAGAATATACGAACTGTAAAACAGATTTTAAAATGTTAACTCTCACAAACAAAAAAGAGCAGAATTTATTTTAAAATTCTATTATGTTTTCATTTAACAGTGCTGAGAACCCTACATTCAATCTTTACTGGTCTCAGCATCTCATTCCATGCGATTATTTCCAGAGTTGTAGAATTAATGCATAAGCTGCACATGTGCTCAAACACCTGCACCCTGCAGAAGAGACCATTCAAATATTAAAACTAGCTACTCCAAGTTATCAAAAAGATGACAATATGATTGAACCACTGTTAAAGTGAAATTACTTTGATGTTAATCATTATTACTACAATAAGAATAATGACTTCAACCGCATCTTTTTGTTCTTACCCTTGGAAACGTTGTAAATCTGTCCAGTTCTTCGACAAAGCAGAACATCTGCAAACTAATTGCTGACATAACAATCAAGAGGCTGGCAGTAAATACAACCAAACTCCCAAGCTTTTTCCCAGGACCAAAGATCTTGTACACGAAGTCTTCTAACGCAGGTGAAATCTTAATAAGCCGAACCACCCGAAGAACCTATTTTGGGAGAGAAAAACATACATATTTGATCATTTATTTACACTGAATCTTAAATAAGTTCATATTAAAACCTCATTTTTTTCATAGCACTTTATAAAGTTGCACTTTTCCATTTAAGCATCTAGAGAGGAAAATTCACAGTATAATAATTAAGCTATCAGTCTAGCTCACTATCTGTCCTATAGCAAGAACTCAGTGTGGTAGGTATGGAGTGGGGGCAGGTACCGGGTGGAGGGGGTCCATGGGGGAAGAAGGGGGAAATCTGTAATACTTTCAATAAAGATAAATTGAAAAAACAAAAACTAAAAGGTGAAAAACAAAACAGCCACAAAACAAAACAAAAAACAACTCAATAAATCCCAAATGAATGAATGAAGAGAAATGGTGATAACTGTTTTAACACATATTTCAAAATGGTATTAACTAGTACATGTTGTTGAAATAAAATTGATATTTTTCTAATGTTCAAATATTGAGGAAAATGTAGTTCCATTCTATCAATACTCATTGTATAACAAAGTAAAACTTCCCAAGTGTTAGTGTACATTCATAAAAAAATGTTTTAAAAACTTTCTGTCTTGGAGCCTTTACTTAAGGCTGAGACTGCTACCCTAATGTCCATTCTCTCCATCCTGGAAATAGAACTTTCTGAATTTTATCCTAGGAAGGAGCTACCTAGGGCTGCAGACTACATTTTCCAGCCTCGCTTGTAGCTAGGTGTGGCCAGCAGACTAGGTTAAGGCCTATGGAATGTGAAAGGAAGTGATTTTTGCAACTTTTAGCACATAAAAAGAAATAAATCTGTCCTAGATACTCTTTTTAATACTTTTCTTTGGCTGGGAAATGGAAACAATTGGAGTATACCCTTTGAACCAAAAATAGAAGCCTTGAGTAGAAGATGATGAATCCAATCTGACAGAAAAGACCAACTTCCTGGATGCCCACACAGAGATGAGCCACCTCCTTTCCCTGGACACCCACCAACTAAACAAACTTCTATCTTATGTAAACCTTGTATTTTTAGATCTTTGTTATATTAGCCTAGTTTGTTATCAAAACACCCACATATGTTTTGCATGTATATGTATGTATATGTATGTGTGTGTATTTATATATGCAAAAACTCCCACCGATAACTAATACATTTATTTTTTCATTCATTTAACATATACTGATTGATTTTTATGTGCCAAACATTGTGTTGGACAAATATATTCAATGGCTATTATTACAAAGGGAGTATAAAAATATCTATAGCATTAAATATATAAATGAGAATGTAATTAAAAGTTGAAGTATAAAATATGGAAAAGTAGCATTTTACATTCAGTTTAAGATATTATCAACTTTTTATATACATTGGATAAATAAAAAAATGTTGCCAATTAAAGGATAACACACCAATGGTTATAAGATGGACCCCAAATTTAGAGGTATTAAAGTAGGAAACTTGTTGTCTTGGCATAAATAAAATATGTATGTAGAATGGTAGCCTGAGTTGATTTAATATCAATAAGAACTTAAGTTGTCTGTGAAGGCTTCTTAAGAGAAGAAAGGTGAATAGTTTGTTAAAAATATAGTAAGAGCCCTAGCTGGTTTGGCTCAGTGGGTAGAGTGTTGGAATGTGGACTGAAATCTATAGCATTAAATATATAAATGAGAATGTAATTAAAAGTTGAAGTATAAAATATGGAAAAGTAGCATTTTACATTCAGTTTAAGATATTATCAACTTTTTATATACATTGGATAAATAAAAAAATGTTGCCAATTAAAGGGTAACACACCAATGGTTATAAGACGGACCCCAAATTTAGAGGTATTAAAATAGGAAACTTGTTGTCTTGGCATAAATAAAATATGTATGCAGAATGGTAGTCTGAGTTGATTTAATATCAATAAGAGCTTAAGTTGTCTGTGAAGGCTTCTTAAGAGAAGAAAGGTGAATAGTTTATTAAAAATATAGTTAAGAGCCCTAGCTGATTTTGCTCAGTGGGTAGAGTGTTGGAATGTGGACTGAAGGGTCCCGGGTTCAATTCCAGTTCAGGGCACATGCCCAGGTTGCAGGCTCAAGAGGTGTGCAGGAGGCAGCCAGTCAATGATTCTCCCTCATCATTGATGTTTCTATCTCTCTCTCCCTCTCCATTACTCTCTGAAATCAATAAAAATATTTAAATAATAGAGTAAGAAACAGGAAATGCTTTAAAAACCAAGATTTTAATTTTTACACATACAAAATATGATTTTTTGTTTGTTTGTTTTGTTAATCCTCATCTGAGGATATTTTTAGAGAGAGTGGAAAAGAGGGAGGAAGGGAGGGAGAGAGAGAGAGAAAAAACATCAACGTTTGTTTGTTTGTTAATCCTCATCTGAGGATATTTTTAGAGAGACTGGAAAAAAGGGAGGAAGGGAGGGAGAGAGAGAGAGAGGAAAACATCAATGTGTGGTTGGTTGCCTCCTGCATGTGCCCTGACCAGGACCAAAGTTTGAACCTATAACCCAGGTATAGTTCTTGATCAGGAATCAAACCCTTTACCCTTCTGGGTGCGGGCCGATGCTCTAATAACTGAGCACACCAGCCAGGGCCAAAATAAAATATATTTGGATTTTCCTTTCCAGCATCCCTAGCTTCCTGCTTTTCCTGATTTGTCTTTGACAAATCATTACTACACTCATAGTCCATGAGGTCCACAAGGGGACTCCCAAATCCCTGAGATCCAGGCCTGACCAGAGTATTCACAATTATTTGATTCAGCAGAACATTTGCTGGACTTATGAGAGGTGTTCCTTTTTTTGTTGTTCCCAATTGGTATTACTGTAAGAATCACATAAGCTTCCAGCTTCTGGGAGACATTTTTGCTACTACACGGAGAAAGTCAGCTTAAGAATGATAGCATCAAAGAAGAAAAGTGACTGAGTCCCAATAATACAATTTTAGCCTCTGAATGTTGCCCCCTAAACTTTGAATTAACAGGAAATACTGAGGTAACATTATCATGCTTTCAGAGCCAACAGCAAGAGCACCACACAGCTCTGCTGGTCTGACTGGCTCTGAATGGCTGTGAGTACATGTATTCTTCTAAATTCTCCTAACCCACTATGCCAGGGCAGGCTCCTGCTTGAACCCTGCCCACTGTACTAACTGTTGGGAACTTAGTCCAAGCTCCTCCTTTATCCTCTGCTCACTAGACAGCAGGTGTTGGGTCCGAGCCCCTCTGCCTGGGGCTGGACCTCCTAGGATGCCGGGTATAGGCTATGAGAGGTTGTGGGTGTACAAGAATAAGTCTTTATTGCAGAAGCTAGTGGCCATATAGCCATCAGATAAGAACGGTCCTCACAGCAAAGTCCATACAGGCAGCCAGACACCAGCTGGTCAATGCATATCTTTCCCATAAAGTAGCATCAGTCTCTGTACCCACAGCTATTTGAGCAGCCGCACGCTGCATCCTAGACTCACCGCCTCACATCGTAGCGGTACCTGAGCTCTCCAGCTCAGCAGCTTCTCCTGTCTCTCCTGCCCAGCTGCTCTCTCTAGCAGACTTCTTCACACACTCCATCCCAGCTGCTCTCTCTCTATACTCCAGCAGACTTCTTCTCACTCCAGCCAACTAGCTGATCAGTAACCTACTTTGATACCATTTAGACAAAGAGGGCTTCATGACAATAGTTACATTAATCATATTGGCTAGAGGAGGGCACAGTGTACCTTGTGTCCTTGCACCCAATCATGGTATCTTGACCTGATTAGGATTCCCAGGCTCAGAGTCCTTGAACATCCCGTTTAGGCACATGCCCAGAGCGACCTTTGGCCATTCTGGTGTATTGATAACAAGGCCTCTGTGCTCCCACCAGCCTTGACTATCCCGGCACCTGGCATGGTTCCCACACATGCCTATTGTCTGAAGAACACAAATGGTATGGTTTCTAGCCACATGTCTAGTAAACAAATAGACAAATGTTTAAATAAGTCGTGAAAATGTATATTTCTTCACGCTAAAGTCCTTCAAATTAAGCATTATATTACATATACGGTTAAGTTACCAGTTTCTCCTGTTATAATACTTTAAGTATACATTCTGAAATCAGAACATTACACTGAGGCTATCTTTCAAAATAACAAGCAAACAGCTTTATCATAAAACCCATTAAGATATTAATATTCATAATCATTAGTACCTAGAGTACTAATCTGGGAAGATTTCACATTTTTATTAGAGTTGTTTATTCTCAAACATAAATGATCGGTATCTAGTTGTTAATATTTAAATATAGGCAAGTTTACAGAAACACTTTAACTGGTTTATAGCTCAAATTTAGTACTGTGTGTTTTCCCCATTTGTGCTAAAATTATATTTAAAGAATTTCCTTTGTAATTTTGAATCCTATCCCAAATGCTAATAAAAACAGCCTATGCACATCTGTGCAATTATGATAAATTAATATTTCATTAGTTGGAAGAAACAGAACTTAACACAACTCCCACATTGGTGATTTGATCAGCAATTTCAAAGGATTAACCTTGCATCCTAGGAAAGCCAAAATCCTTATAATTATGCCTTTTCATTTATTTGGGGAGAAGTATGGTTTTTACTCTGTCTACCCAACATGTTGATTTTTGTGTTCCTACTGATACTCTCAAACATAAGGTCTGTGGAACATTTTGTGATAGTTTCCAAATCACATTTTCCTGGTCACATTTCTAAGTCTCTCTTAGAGACTATTCGTTTGATTAGTAAGTACTGTAGAAATTGTGTGGTTTAGAATATGAGCTGTGAAATTAAATTTGTTGGTGATGAGTTTCTACCATTTGCTAGTTATGTGGTCTTAGGCAAGTTCTCAAATCTCTTGGGCCCTCCGTTTACATGTACACTGTCTAGCTCACATAATTGTTATGAGAAACAAATGAAACAATGCACTCAGCACAGTGATTGGCGCATAGTAAATGCACAATAAATACCAGTCGGTGTCACAATTATCCCGGTATGTTAGAACCATAGCATTTTTAAAGGCTTCATTAATTCCCATAGGACAATGCTGCCCTATGTTCATTCCAGCCCAGCTACACTGGTCTTGGTGCTACTCTTTGAACAAACCAAGTATGTTTGCACCTCAGGACAGGTACCATGTGGTTCTTTCTACCTGGAATGCTTCCTCCCTGAGCCTCTCATGGATGCTTCTCACTCCTTTCAGTCTCTGCTCAAATGTCACCTCTTCAGAGAGAGCTCCCATGACAACTTATCTAAAATGACACTGCATCCCACAACCTCTATCATTTTTACTATGCTTGTTTCTTCTTTATACCATTTCTGGCACTTGTATTCTACATTCTGTTGTATACTTGTTTATGTACTGCTTGTCCCCTAGAATTTATGCTTACTAAAGTGGGGAACTTCATTGCCTTGTTCACCTTTCTCCCATCAGTATCTGGAACAGTTCATGGCACACACTATGTGCTCAGTTAATATCATTTAAATAAATAGATGAATAGCACCAATAATTAGTCTCAAAGATAATTGATATTTTAAAGGGAGTCATTTTGTACAAAACTGTTGACTTCACATTTAAATATGAAAAATATAAAATTCACTAAGGGAAGACTTGCTGCCAACACAATGAAGAAAGGTCCACTGAAATGAGAAGTGTGAGGACCAACAAGAGAGATGAAAGTGGACCCACAAGGTGCCAATCTGTTTGGTACAATGGATTCTCCATTTGTGAATTTGCAAAAATCCTGTGACACCCAAGCTTCTTAAGAGATTTATTTATTTATTAGCCACAAAATAACTGAGGTATGTAGGTTTGAATTATTTTATTAGAAAAATATACCCATGGCCATGTATAGAGAGATACAGATGAAAATCACTTAACTATTAATATAAATTATTACAAATTATAATCCAGAATTAAAGACACAAGTAAAATTTCCAATTTCATTGATTGCATATTATGTGACTATCTATATATATAAAAGCCTAAGCGACCATTATGACCGATTGACCAAATGACCGGTCGACCGGTAGCTATGATGCACACTCACCACCAGCGGGCAGACACTCAATGTAGGAGTTGCCCCCTGGTGGTCAGTGCGATCCCACAGCCAACCTCCCCCAGCCAGCCAACCTCCCCCCTGGCCAGCTGGCCCTGATTGGGACTGGGCGAGATGGGCCCCAATCAGCCTGATCGCTGGCCAGGCTGAGGGACCCCACCCATGCACGAATTTGTGCACTGGGCCTCTAGTAACTATATAAAATTATTAGAAGCATGAATACAAAGTCTAGATATTTTGTAAAAACAGACTAGTAGAAAAACACCAGAGACAATGACTATTAATAATTTGCAATACTTTGGTTTATTTCTATGCAGTCATTTTTGACTTTAAAATTTTTTTAATATTTAAACTGTTTTCCAGAGAGTATTAGATATTATTATCTCCTGTTTCTTCTTATTCTGTTTCTTTATCTGTAGTAGGTGCTGAATAGATAGATATTAGTTTAGTAGCCATCCAATCGTTTGTTAATGACTTAAGATAGTATTTCATGTGTAAAACCAAGTGACCTTCAGGTCATTTTTAGGTGTTATATGATTTATACAGTTTTGCATTTAAATAAAACAATCATATCTCCAAGTTATTGCAAATTCATCACAGCTATTAATTTTATGGTCAAATTGGCATATGACTTGCTAAGCTATTCCTCAAATATTTACCATTTAATCAGTTTCCATTTTTTTAACTCATAAAGAATTCGAATTTTGATCTATTTCTAACATTTTTACAAAAAATTATCTGTGAGAATCTATAAGAATTTTCAAACCCTGAATATATTTTATACTATATCCTTGTTGAAATAGCATTAATATTTTTTAAATTTGTCTGATATGATAGGTTCATATTAAAGTATCATGTAGCTTTGACTATCAGGCATATTTTCTATAATTATCTACAATGGTTCTCTAAGTAAGCACTACATGCTCAGGTTGATTTTGTGAAGCTAGATAGCAGTTATGAAGGGCCTATAATGCATGAATATTTGGGAAGCCCATTTTGTATCAAGAGTTTTGAACATGTGTATATCTCTTGCCTCAGCCATCTTACTTAGGTAACCAAGGCCAAGGATATAACCCAACATGGGACAAGAGATTTATGTGCAAAGATGTTGATGGTACTAAAGCGTGTCCCAAAATTCACGCGAGAAGTAATTTTGATAGAAAATACAGGTTTATAATTAAAAATTGTAAATTTTTTATTGATTCATAAAGTATACAGTATAGGGTTATGTATACAATAGCACATCAGGTAAATGGCCTCCACGGCTTAGCTGGCACATATGCACTCTTTTGTTGAAATTTTCCATGACCATTTTGCATAAATGTGGCTGAATTTCGTTGATACAGCGCTCAATTTCCTCCTTCAAGGTGTGTGTGGTCGTGAGCTTGTTGGCATAAATCTTAGACTTCAAAAAACCCCAAAGAAAAAAGTCCAACGGCGTTAAACCGCATGATCTGGGCAGCCAATTCTGATCACCAAAACGGGAAATTACACAACCAGGAAATGACTCATGCAGTAATTGAATTGTTTCTCGGGCTGTATGGCATGTGGCACCATCTTGTTGAAACCACATTTCGTCCACATCCATATCTTGCAATTTAGGCAAAAAAAACTGTATTATCATGTCGCGATAGCGAGCACCATTAACTATTATTGCCTGAGAAGCCGAATTTTCGAAGAAGAATGGTCCGATGATGCCTCCAGCCCAAAATCTGCACCAAACAGTGACATGTGGATGCATCATTTGTTTCTCAACAATCACTCGTGGATTTGCTGAACCCCAAATGTGACAATTTTGTCGATTAACCAAGCCATCAAGATGAAAATGA